AATATATATACACATTTATCCACATTGATGTATATATTTTATTAGAATGTACTTAATGAATGTTAACCGGTATATTAGAGCCTTCGTCAACAGACTCATGGCTCCTTGGACAGAATGGCAGCTCATTGGACAGAATAATTAAGACTAATTTGTTGGGGGGAGGGTATAGCTCAAGTGGTAAAGCGCATGCTTAGCATGCCTGACGTACTGGGTTCAATCCCCAGCACCTCCTCCAAAGATAAATACATAAATAAACCTAATTACCTCCCCCTCAAAAAAAACAGAGGAAAAAAGAAAAAGACTAACTTGTTAATCACATGGATAGCTACTATGATACAATCTTGTATTTTATAAATTTACACATCTAAAAAATATCCTTCTTGGACCATTTGTCCCAATTACACGTGAAGAATATAAAGTAACAATAAAATTTAGAGAGAAAGTGCTAAGCATCTGGTACCTACCATTTTTATTAATGTATGTATATATTTATAATATATTTTCTTCTGTTTTTAAGTGTAGATTATGAGTAAGAACATATTTATAATGGAGTCTATGCAGTTATTAAAATTATTCTAGATCTATATTTATAGACTTTTATAGCTTTAGAGAGATGTTCACTATATATTTTAAGTGAAGAAGTAGCTTACAAACCATCCCAGGGATTGACTTCATTCTTACGTTATTATATTTGCTTGTATACACTTAGAAAAATCTGGAAAGATACACATGAAAAGTTTCACACTGATTATTTCTGCTGTATAGTATGCTTTTTATTGGCTTTTTCCTGCTTCTTTATATTTTATATTTCTCTGCATCAATTTTTTTGGACAATAAGCATTAAACATTTATTACTCTTTTTAAAAGAATTTTAAAAGAAGGAATAAGAAAATTATACCAGTACATGAGAATTTCATATATGATAAAAGTAATGTTTTATATCAGTTGACAAAAGGGAAATTGTTCAAATCATGGGATATAAAAAACTGTTTAACCATTTGGAAAAACTCAAGTAGATCAAAATTTTAAATACAAAAGAGAAATTACAAAAATACTAAAAGGAGAAAATACATGAAAATATTTAATTGGGAGACAGGGAATTACTTCCAAAGCATGATACCAAACACAGAAACAATCATAAAAGAAATAAAATCTTGTAAGATTGTAACATATAAAACTTTAAAACATCTATAGGATCAAATACATCATTAACAAATGGGAAGTTTTTTTAAATACATAACAAGTAAAGAGGTCTAACAAATCTATATTTAAAGGGGTCAGCAGAAAAATAGATTAAAAACATGAATAAGTAACCCCAAATCACCAATAAACATGAAATAAACATAAAAGGTGTTTAACCTCACAGAATGCAAATTGTTTCTATTTTTGTTTTTTAAGATAATATCTAAATCTAGCACATAAAATAAGCACTCTGATAAAATGATGATGGAAATGTAATACTGGTACAATTTTTATGAAGAACAACTTAGAAATACACATGAAAAGACTAAATAAAATGCATACACTTTTGGATCAGTAATTCCACTTCTAAACTTTAGTCTAAAAAAGTAAGGATGCACACTAACTAAAATTAAGCTAACAAGATCTTCACTGAAGAACAGAAAAAATGGAATCAGATACTATTCAAAAATAAGTGATAGATTATAAACGCTGGCAAATGTACACAATGAAATTTAAAAAGAGCCATTGAACATGGTCTGCAGAAATATGTTTACTGCATACGAAACTGTCACAAAATACTTAATATAAAAAAGTTGTTAAACCGTATATTTAAATACTTATAAATGTGTACCTAGAAAAATTCTGAATGGAAATAGTGTACTTTTAAATTTTAAAGGTAGTTATCTCTGGAAGTCAAGTTTCCAAGTTTTCTTCTTACTTACCTGTATTTTCTAATTCGGGCACACTGAGAATACCTCTTTTTAACAAAACCTTTTCAAACTTACACCACTAAGGAATTGCACAGGGAAGATGAGAACATTCCTAGTAAGTGTCCCCTTGTCTAAGCACTTTCATGTCATATGCTTATTAATTAGGTTTGCAGCCTTACTAGAATGTGACCTCCCACAAAACAAGAACTGAGTCTTGCTCGTTTCTTTTTTTACTTGTAATGCCTATGTTAGTATGTGGTATTACAGTAGGCTGAATGAATACATGAACCTTCAGCAGGGAGCCCAAAAGGCTCTCCAGGCACCTAAGGTTTAGATTCTGTATAGGAACTACAGCCACATATGAAACACTCAAGGCTGGCAACAGAGCCTCTCAGTAAATACAAATTCTAGTTAACCAACTGCTCAAACTGAACAATCCTGAAGTTTTCCTTGAATCCTCTTTCTCTCACACCTCACATTCAATCCATCAACAAATTCAACTGAACAAATCTTGTTGTTTCTACCTTTAAAATGTGTTTTCCCATCACCGCTCTCACCATCTCACTGCCATCACCCCCATCCAAGCCAGAAAATCACCTCCTTCTCATACACCTGCAATCAACCCCTACCCGGTCTTGATGCTTCCACTCTGATGCACTGTAGTCTTCACAACAGCCAGAATGACCCTTTAAAGGCACATATAATCATGCAACTCCAAGCTCAAAACCCCCGATATTTTCCCATCATTGTTAGAATAAAATTCAAAGTGTTTCCCAGTGGCCTACAAGCCCTGCATGATCTGCCCTAGATGCCTAGTTTGAAATCATCCACCTGCCCCCTGACTCACAGGGCGACGGCCACACTGGCCTGCTTACTATTTCTGGACCTGTCAAACCTCCTCCCCACTGCCATCTTCTCTTCTTTTTTGCTGCGAATATGCTTCTCCTTAAAACCAAACTCATCAAAAGATCTTTATCAAAATGGCTATCTTTAACCACCTTTTTTTAAAAAGCAATCTTTCCCAACAGCCCTTCACTCTCTCTTCCTTTAATCTGTTTTATTTTTCTTCAGTGCACCACCTGTCACTACATTATCTATTAATTTGTTTATTGTCTTGTCTCCTCCACTATCTATTGAGACAGACTTCGATTTCTTCACCACTTGATTCCAAGCACCTAGAATAATGCCTGCCACATTGGAGGTACTGAGTAAATATTTATGAGATAATTAGGTGAATGAATAATTAATTGAAAGACTTCAGCAGGATATGTTTCAAGTTCTCCTGTAAACACAGTATTTGGGCCAGTGTCTGCTCTAAACTATAGAATACTTCCTGAGGTCAGCACCAAAAGGGGATGTTATAATAAAGCAGATAGAATGAAAACATCACACTACTTAGTAACGACACCGATGCTGATGAGTACTGTCAACAGACCTGGAGTTCCCCAACCCTCAAAAGCCTTCACATCGATCATCCCACCACCATTTAAGACCTACATCTACCTTCCTGAAACTTAAAGTTTTCTTAAGAACTTATTAACAGATTTAACAGACATTGTAAATTATTCCTGTGAGGAAAAGTCAGTCATTTCATACTATGAGCACTTCATTCACATTAACTTGTAACCAAACATTGTTTCTTGGTATGTAGCCCTGTAACATGGAACAATAATCTGATTTGCTATAACCACTGATGATTTCCCGTTGCCGTAGTTCTATCAGGAAGATGATGCAAGGAGAGACCCAGCAAATTGAACACAGGCATTCTCAGGGCACATGCAAGTGACGCTTCAGGGTACCAAGGTCAGCTGTGGTCCCTGTTATAAGTAGTTTATTAACTAAAAATAGTTTGAGTACTTGAGTTGGAGAAGTATCTACTTTAGAAATAAACCCAACCATGGTCACTGTAATTTACATTTGCTTCCTTTCTGATATATATTCTCGAAAAAGAAGCTGATGGTACCAGATCAGGAATTCTGATAGTACCAAATCAGAAATTTGGCATAACCCCATTGACTGTCCTGTCACTTAAGTAAATTTTGAATTAAATTCCTGACAGTCAACTTCACTGCTTCAAAAACAAGATTTTTCATACCACCAGGATAAGTGCTGTACAGTACATAAGGCTATGGAGTCAGGCCAGGCTGGGTTAGAATTCCATTTCTGCCACTTAGTTGCTGGGTGATCTTGGGTAAATCCTCTGCCTTCTCTGGGCTCCATAACTCCATATCACCCATACAGTGCAGATAAAAGGACCTACTCTACAGTGTTATTATGAGGATTGGGGCAATGCATGCAAACCATTATCAAGTACCCCCTGTCCCAGGCAAAGCCACTGACAATGCGCAGCAGATGGAAACCAAGTGGGAGGCGGCAGTCTGTTTGCAAACTTCTGCCCACAGGCAGCCAAACAGGAAAGCGTCCTCCACAAGAAGTCTATGAACTGAAGCATCTGTTGGGACACACATACACATCATAGCACAAACCCCGAGAGGAAACTGCATCTTTCTTCCTATCCCAATCAGCCTTAAAAATGGCTTAGCCTTTACACTAACACTGGGAATCCTAACGTTACCCTTGCTGGTCTCGTTCTCCTCAGGCTATGTGCTGCTGCATCAATTCCAGATCTGCCTCCCTGACGCTTGAAAGTGAAAATGAAAAACTGAGACATTACTGAAGACAGTTAACATTTACTTAGCAAAGACTATCGTCCCCTGCAGTGTTCAGGTAGTCGAAACAATAATCCTCAGCCTTAGGCTTTGTCGGTGACAGTATGATCTTTCTACCCACGCTTCAGCGGAAAACTGTGGCAAAAAGACCGCCAGTAAAACTGTTTACCGTGTCGAAACCTCTGCTTTCCTGAGTTACTGCTGTCCGGGGGTGGGTGGGTCAGTCTCCACCTAGCCCACCCCCAGCCATGCTCTTCACCAACAGTAATTACACTGCCTCGGCGTTTCCCCCCACAGACCACAAGATGCAAAAGGGAAGTTCATGCCAAATCGAGGGGAACAGCCCCGGGCTCGGGGGCGCGCAGGCCGTTCCTGGGCCCCTCTCTCCACGAGGGAGGACCCAGGCCCAGGCTCGCGATGGGGCGGCCGCATACAGTACCTGGATGAGCCTCTGCTGGAACAAGGCGCTGTGCACGCAACCCGGGACCTCTCCGGGCAGCTCCAGCGACCTGTTCTGGCTGCGGACCCTCCAGCTTCCCCGCAAGCTGACACTGAACGCCGCGGCAGCGGGGCCCGCACCGCACAGCGCGAGCAGCAGAAGCAGACGGAGGCGCATGCCGCTGGCCGACGCCGCACACGCCCACAGGGC